AAATAAAATATAAATGTATATATGAAAAAATATTTTATAATATTTCATGAAAAAGAAAATATTTTCTTTATTGGATAGAACAGTACAGAAAGAGAGAGAGACTGTGTGATGAGTCAGGAACAGTAAAGATATATTAATGTATATTTTAAAAATAACTGCATCGCTTTAAAAGGTTTATGATCATGCAAAAAATTTATTTGTGATTTCATATGAGCCTTATTTTGTTACATTCCTCAAGAGGGCAGCAGAGAGACACAAAGTGCACGCTACACACTGGTGGATTTCATGGAACTTGACTCTCCTCTGCTGTTCATTCAAAAACCTATTTTCCATTACAGCTGGATTTGTTTCCTGACCATGATCTAAAGATAATCTGCAGGTCTGCGCATTAATGTGTGTGACGAATACAGTGAAGCCAAACAAATTCATTTCACATTTCACTGAACACAGATGCAAGTGTTTCTTTGTATTTTTTTCTAATATTTTTCATAATTAAGCAAGACATGAGAGCGCCCTTCAGAAACATTTGATTTTGAAGCGTAAGCGGTTTCCTTATGATTAGGATTTATGATGCTATTTTATTGGCTATGCTCGCAAACAGAATACTAGCTGACTATACAAAGTTAGCATATTGCAGTAATTTAAACAATATGTCATGTGATCTCATAATGTTGGGACCAGTTACTAGTTCAATAAATATGGTTATTTTGCAGTTGTTATTTTATGTAATTTTTTTTACTTACAATGGCACACAATGTTTAAAGGGTCTAGAACATGTTATATTCACAACTTTCAAAACTGTTTTATGGAGTTTTGTCTACAGATTATTTTCTTCTTCTTCAGAAAGACCTTTTGTCTGATTGAACAAAGGGAAGAGTACAATTCATTGAATGCACTATACTTAAGTCCTCACAGCAGGCCTGGTTCTACGGGGGTGTTAGAGGGTGCACCCTCAAACGAAATCAATAGCTCCCTCAGTTAACGCTGTAATAATGGCATTTTATTGCAGATCTGGACTTTCAAGTGCCCAAAGCCATAAAAAATGTCCCATGCCTCTTTTCTATAATAAAACTAACATGTTTCATTTTGTTGTCCTTATCTATTTGAAAGAACTAAGCATTTCATGATCTCTCTTCTGAGCTCATGAAGAAGCCCAGCATCTCTTTCTCCACTCCTGTCAGTGTGTCCAGAGGCCCTCCGCAGCTGCAAGTGTTTAGGAGCCACAGTTTCACCATCACCTGATCCTTTGAGCCACAGTATCCAGGAGGAAGCTTCCACCGCACAGTCCCCTGGAGCAACAGAAGCCACACCCACCCAGCTGTCAATCACTCAGCCCCCTTCCAGCTAATGATTTTCACCAGGGAAACTACAGCTGTGTCTACCACAATCAAGTCGACTTTAAAGGGGACTTAACACACACAGTTTCACCCAATCTCATGTTAATCTTTAGTACTTATAGAGTAGTATTGCATCCTTCATATCTCCAAAAAGTATTTAGTTTTATCATATTTATAAAAGAAAGATAAAGCTTAACGATTCTCTCCGAAAACAGCTGACCTCCTGGAGGTGCGCCGAGGGCGGCGCTAAAGAGTGACGAGCACTTGCCTGCCGATTACCAACAAAACACAGACATTTGATGTGTTTCACTTACCGTCTGCAGTTCCGAATCATGACCGGGATCTTTTATAGCTGGGACCGCTCCATCTTTCAGTATCAAACGATGTGCAAATCCAGCGTCGAACTGGGCCTTGTTTATAAAACGTTCGTCAACAAACACACTTGTGAAACTCCGTTGCTGCCCCGAAAAACAAACTGCATCCACTGTTCATGTAACACTGAGTTCTTTAGGAAGCTGAACAAAGCTGAAAACATTCTTCCCGAGCAAGTCCCGTGCAGCGGATGAAGCGCGCTCTTGCTCTCGCTCCAGTCGATGTATGGAATGGATGGTGGAATGATCTTCCCACCCCTATCCGGAATGCTGAAACACTGACAGCTGAAAACTCATCTCTTTACTTGACTTCATCTTAAAAAATCTACAAAATCTTGTACTTATTTGAACAATGCCTAAAACTTGGTATTTCAAGCATTCCCTGTGTCTGTTTGCCTCTTTAAGAAGAATCGCTTTATGTATTCCCCAATTGTAAGTCGCTTTGGATAAAAGCGTTGGCAAAATGACTAAATGTAAATGTAAATGTATGCGCGGACGTGCCCATATAAGCAAGTATAGGTGTCTGCAGGAAAGTAATGGGCATTACCAGATCGGGGTGTTTTTAGACCATGTTTCCTGATTGGCTGACGTCATAGTGACTGTAGGTTTAGGGGTGGGGTTAGGTAAGGGGGATCATTTTGATTGCATGATTGAGAAACACCCTGCAGTTTGAAAACACCCACAAATTCATACACGCCCACTTTTGCTCTGCAGAGACCTCAATCTCCATATAAGGAGTTCCACCCTTCATTACGTCATGAATTGAAAAAACTTTCCGAAACTTGTACGAAACCCGGAAGTTAGTATTTGGCACAGAAATACTCTGCTATACATGTCCAAATAGTTTTTTTTAAAAACCTTGGCCATGTTTAGCATGATAATCAAACTATTTAACAGTGTAAATAACTCAACATGCATGAAATTGCATTAACCCGCCGCCCCCCCTTAAGTATTTCTCTCACACCCCTCGTCAGGTTGGGAGGGGTAGGGGCACTGGTCTGCTCATTTCTGACAATTGGAAATACTCAACCCACTCTGACCTATGCAATTATAACTCATTTGCATATCATGCGATTACTGTAACAGCTCCTATAAAACTCCATTTTGTGGTAATTTACTGGCCTCCTGGGCACCTTCCAAGAAGAGCTGGATGGTCTGCTGTCCACATTCCTAGAGGATAGCAGTCCACTTTTAGTCTTTGGCGACTTTAACATTCATCTGGACAAGCCTTATGCTGCAGACTTCCATTCACTCATAGCTTAATTTGATATCTAACGCCTTACCACTACAAGCACTCACAAATCTGGCAACCAACTTGTCTTAAGTTACACACGCAATTGTACTGCAGACAACATTTCGGTAAAACCCCTACACATCTCTGACCATTTCTTCATTACATTTAACCTACATCTTCCTACCTGTGTGCCACCAACCTCTCTACCTGTTACTTTTAGATGAAACCTGCGCTCCCTTTCACCCTCCTCTCTTTTCTCTGTAGTGTCTTCCTCTCTTCCCTCACCTACCCATTTCTCATCTCTGGACATTAATGCAGCAACTGACACTTTATGCTCTACTTTAACTTCGTCTAGACATTATATGTCCTCTCTCCTCCAGGCCAGCACTGGCTACCCCTTCTAACCCCTGGTTATCCGATGTTCTTCATGAGCATCGGTCCAAACTCAGGGCAGCAGAGAGAAAATGGCGCAATCAAAAGAGCTGTCTGACCTGAGTATGTATCAGGCTTTGCTTTCATCTTTCTCTGCTCAAGTCCATACTGC